CCTTGGCGGGGACATGCGTGTAAGCCGGTTATCGCCAGCCTGCCTGACTGCCTCTTGGCTCCTGGCTCCTGCCTGTCAGGACCAGGGGACACTTTAAATATCTTTATGCATACCATAAATACGTTCTTAAATGCTAATCCTTAAATGCCGGCCACCAGAGGCCCGGCCTCTTCTCCTTCTGCTCCTTCGCTGAGTGGCCAAAGTGCGTCATGGATATGAATCAGCCCCGGGGGCTAGGTCTACGTCTACGAAGGACCCAACCATGGGGTCATTCCAGGAAATGTTGCGCCACAGATCCAGTCAAGTGTGGCAGGATATTTCGAAGGATAATATCCCAATATATCCATATATAAAGACTGGCATTTGAAGGCATAGATGGGGATTGATAGGCTTATAGGCTGGGTCTCGGCTGATCAGCTCAGCTTCTTAGAGAGTGAGCGAGATGAAAAAACCGAAATTTCCGTCTATGACACAAGAAAAACATTGATATCTGCCTCGTTCTGGAGGTTTGGGGCAAGCGTTTGGATTTGATAGGAAAATAAGTCGATAGTTTACATAAAATCGATTCAACGAGGACTCAGGAGGACTCTGTTTGTGGGAAAGTCTATGTATTATGCATGCAGTAGATGAAAGAGGTTTCTCTTTTCGTTTTGTCATGTCTGTCGGACATTTAATTTATGCCCCATTCCACGGCCCTGACAAGAGTCCAATTCATTAGCCCTTCGATTCCAAACTGTGGCTTCGGATTGGAAGTGATTTGTTAAAACAAAATCTGTGTTAAAATGCTTTTCTTGTCCTCCTAATTGGGCAAGTAGGGGGGTGGGGAGGAGGGAATCGGTGAAACTAGTTTTACATGGCACATGGCCGGGCAGACAAGATGGCCATTGTGTTTTCGGTGATTGCCTAGATTATCGGCTCCAGAAAAAGAGGCTTTGAATACGGAGGGATCCCCGTCAATTGCCTAGGGGGTTTTCCACTCCTCGGTGCTCGGTTCTCGGTCCTTGGTCCGTCGTTAAAGTATCTTAAAGTCCTGACCGTCCTAGCAACGGCAGGAGCATCAGCTGGCTGAATTTTTGTTGAATATTTGCTCTTTTTTTGTTGCTGTTGGGCATTGTTTTGACAACTTTATGGGGAGGAAACAAAAAAACATTTAATATATGGCCCAGAGCGTGGCCGCAACTCACTTTTTAATCACTTTTCATGAGCTTTTAATTACACACTCCCCTCTGTCGGTGTGTGTGTGTGTTTTTGGGAATGAAATTTATGAAAAACCAAACGCATAAAATGCTTAACAAGCTTTTCCAGGGACCCCGACCACACAATGGGACGTGGATGGCGGCCAGGCAGGACACACACAAGAATGAAAGAATATATGTGTATAAATAAAATAAAAATATACCTCCCCCGAACCCCCGCCACCCCGCAACCCCCCTCCTCATTTCCGTTATAATAATGTGTGAAAGGATATTAATTATGAAACAAGCGAACGGCAGGAAGCTTGGGCAATAAAAACAGCAAGCGACAGGAACACCATGCGTGACCAGAAACAACATCCCCAACATTCCCAACATCCCATCCAGAGAAAGAGAAAGAGAAAGAGCAAGGACAGCCATAGTCCCTGGGTGACGAGGCTCTTGATGTTCCCCTTTGAGATCGATCTTCTTCGATTTGGATTCTCTTTGAAGGCCCAGGAATATCTTCATCAAGGGAACTTCCTTTGGGTTTCCCCAAGGAACTATACATATAAGAAAAGCCATTTATTCGGAAAGATATATTTATATTCGATCGCAAAAATTCGTAATACCCTCGGCAAGGGTATGTGGCCAAACGGGAATCGTGTATATTGTATATTTTATGGGTGTTGGCCAGCCACAGGAACCGGCCAGGATGTGGGGTTAGACGAGGTGAGCTTGGGCTGAGCGCCGGAAACGGGAGCAACATGTGCAACATGTCGAACGGAAGTGTCGGCCATATTCCACACACACACACACACACACACACACACAGACACATACAGTGTTACGCAGATACCACTACTACTACTACCTAAATAGGCCCACGTCGCACACACACAAATTATGAGACCCGGGCCAAGTAGATTTTTATGTAATGTCGGTCGGTTATTGCTTTCATTTCATACATTTATTTCATTTCATTTACCCAAACCCCAAGCCCCAGCCCCAAGCCCCAGCCCCAAGCCCCAGCCCCAAGCCCCAGCCCCAGCCCGCCCCACAGACAAATTTCATATTTCTGTTTTCTCCATTCTGCTAAGGGTATACCCTGCCCTCCTGCAGGATGCCAACGAATTGCTGAAGGCTCAAGTATCAGATATCGATTAAAAATCATTAAACATTTTATAACAATCAAAAATAAATAAATAATGTACATTAATGTGCAAATATTTGATTTAAATACTTTTCATGGCAAAAAAAATACATTTCGTATTTAAATGAAATAATTTCATATTTAGATTAAATATATTTCCTACAAATTTAATAAATAATATTTATTTAATTACATTTAATTTACTTGGGTTAAATAAAGACTGTATTAAAAAATTAGTTTTTAATACATATATTTTTAAATAAAAAAGAATTATTTAATTTAAATTAAATTTAAAAAATATACATGGTTTTATTTTTTTTTAATAGATTTTGAACTCTACCAAAAATATAGAAATCAAATATTATAAATAATTAAATATAAATTTAATTTCAAAAATATATTTGGCTGTATTTATTTTTACTAGATATTTAATTCCACAAAAAATAAACAAATCAATAATGAGTTCAAATTTCCCTTAAAAACTCTTAGGGACACAATTTTCTTCAAGCTGAATTTTTTATCCCCCATTTATCCCCACGGTTAGAACATTCCTTAGTCGTATATGGACGTGGGATGTCTCGCCTATTAATGTTGGTGGTTTTTTCTTTTTTCGTGCACTTTATGTCCTGTCAGCGGAGTCAGTCGACCAGCCAGTGTCAGTCAGTGCCGGCCCTGGGCCGTCGTCTGCCAGTGACAGGCGGCCAGTCCAGAGCTATGCGTCAGTGGATCACGTTGCTGCTCCACGTGATGATGACAGCCATGCCATGCCATGCCAAGCCAAGCCAAGCCAGGCATCGAATGGCCATCCCCATTCCTATTCCCATTCCCATTCCCATCCCCAAACTGTGTGGCTCCTGCGTGTAATTGCCGTTGTAATGTCGCTCAACGCGAATATAATTGCTAAAATGTTGCATAAACCGACAGACGTGCCAATGGCCAAACGGTCGTATACGAACACGACCCATCCGCCGTGTCACAGAGTCCGAGTTTGGGTCTGGGTCCGGGTCCGGGTCCGGGTCCGGGTACGGGTCGCGGCGGCAACGACACTTTTCCATTTGAATTTAATTTTAATTTACGCCCAACGGCCTTTCCCGCTGCCCAATGCCATTTGCCGGAAATTGGCAACGGGCTCTGCTCTGGCCAGAGAACATTCCGCATTCCGAACGTGGTTCTGTCCAGGGCATTGGTCCTTGGGCTGGGGCTTGGGCTTGGGCTTGCGATTCGAGCCTGCAGATGCGCGATGGATGGCCCTGCTGCGACCCTGCGACCAAAATTCTAGAGGGCTGCCTGTCCGCGCCGTTGAGTTAATGAGAGGAGACAGGAGACACAGGAGACACGGGAGAGACAGGAGAGAGTCGGGGGAACAGCCGACAGACATTTTATGTGCAACCAGGCAAAATGCTTTGAGGGGAAGGAGTGAGCAGGCGGGAGTCTAATTGAAGCGGCCCCAAGCAATTAGTCGATAAATTGAGGCAACAAAAATGTCCGAGCGGGAGCGGGAGCGAATTATATACATTTCAGACACGTCTGAAATACGTAGACGTATGTTATGTACAACGAAATACATATATGAGCTGGTAAATGCCATGAATAATCAATCTGTAGAGCGGAATGCAACTCCTTTTCCACCATCGAAGAAATGGCAATGAAAAGTCGAGCTCAACGACCAAATGGAATACTTTTCTTGGCCAAACGAAAGCCTAACTAATGAAAAACATTTCCCAAATTAATTATCAAACGAATAGCTCCGAATTTTCCATCACAAATTGATACGATAGAATCGATCGGCTTAATCATCCGCCAGAGTGTCTGGCTATCTGGCTGTCGGGCTGTCTGGGCGTATGAGTTATTTTCCGCTGGCCTGGCCAAGATCGTGCTGCCATTAATCGCCCAGAGAATTAACACAGAAATATACATAAATAAAACAAAGGTAATGCATGGCGGTATGGGGGGTGGAGGGGGAGGGGGATTTGGGGCCTGGGATGACGTTAAACGCAGAACTGGAAACGCCGACGATTTGATGAAAATTATTTTCCAAATTTGGCAAAACTATTAACCACGCTACGTTAATTTCATTAGCAAGTCTAAGTCTGTCTTTCTTGTTTCGTTGACCGTGTTTCTCGTATACACTCAAGCCATTAAACGCGCTAATTAGTTGGTCAATTAGCGTATGCTTACCGCCGTATTGTTTTTGGCTCTTTGTTTTCTCTCTCTCTGGGGGCCCCCCCTCCCCCCGCGGGGCTCCTGCCGACAGCCAACAGCCGACGTCAGTCGGTTCGATCGCCCAACTGTCGCCACATTAATAAATCAGTTTAAATTAATTCAGTTGACAGCTTTTAGTCAATATTGTTGATAAATTATTATATTTTGGTTGTAGTTTTGTTGGTTTCTACGCAGCTGTTGCCGAGCGGGGCCCCAGAGAGTGGTCCGCCTTTAAGGATTGCCCCGTGAAAATGTAGGAATGATGGGGTCTTCCAGCCCATTGAAGACTGTCACAATTTGTTTGGTTAACTCTCAAGGGGGGATCGGTTTCAGGCACGTTGTGGCCTCTGTTCGATCTGCTGGCCTGCCAGAAAGCCAATGCCCCTTTGTGGCTGGAACCTAGGAAGGAAACTTTCAGGGCCTAAAACTAAAGACCTACATGGATGGTGGTGCCACGGATTCTTGTAGCCAAGTGCCATGCCAAATGTCTTGTTTAATTGTGAATATACGATCGGAAATCAATCTTTGATTGCCCGTAAGTGCCATTTTTGTATGCCACCTGCCCTTGGTGTGTGTGTATGTGTGCGTGTGTGTGCGTGTGTGTGTGTGTGTGAGAAATGTTTCTTGTTTACAACTCCTCGCTCTTCTGCACATCCGACCAGAACTTGGGCCAGGACATTTGTGGAGGAATCTCGTCGTCATCCCCCTGCGAGCTCTGGGCCTGCTCCGTCTGGGCATTCTCGAACTCCGCCAACTTTTGGAGGCGGACCTCCATGCGGCGCTCCAGCTCCTCGGTGCTGCTCGGCGTGCGGCTGATGTGCACAGACGCCTCCGAGGAGGCCTCGCGCTCCTGAACGCTCCGGACACTGGCCGCATACTCCGAGGAGCTCTCGTCGGCGTCGCTGCCCGAATGGAGGCTCCAGGTGCCGTCTAGGCCACTGACCACATGGCGATTGCAGCGCTCATCGCCAGCAGCACCCGGATCCTGGCACACACTGATGCTCAGGCGGCGACCGCGGCACAGCAGTTGGTCCTTCTTGAGCAGCTCCATCAGGTCGTCGCGCGTCGCCAGCTCCACATGCGCCTTTCTCTGCTGGCTCCCGCCCTTGCCCAGCCGCAACAGGCTGATGGAGCGAATCGAGTGCTGGACAAACAGCACGAGCAGCTCCCGCACGCTGGTCTCCATCGGCAGATTGGCGACCAGGGCCACGAACGGCGGCTGGTCGGGTGCCTCCACCGAACGGGCACCGAGCGACTTCTGTGGCGCCTTGGATTTGGGTTTCATCTTGCGGATTGGGAGTTCCGCATCGTCGGCGCCGGCGTCCGTGTCGCCGATCCTCAGTCTCGTGACACTAATCATATCCTCCAGACTGCGCTCCGTTTCGCTGCCAGTGCTGGAGACGGGGCCACGACGGGGCTGCTTCGATTTTTTACGATTCTGAGTCTTGGACATTGTTTTGCTGTTGGGGAATATATACTGAATGTATACTTTGAAGTGTTTCCCAGGGTTGGCAGATCTCTGACATACACAAACGTACACACAGAAACCTACTCGAATCAGCAGCCAGCCACTTGGCAGTACTCTCAGACGAATATTGCCAAGCAGCCTCATTGCCCAACACACGCCGCCTCCTCTGGGGTCCGTTCGCGCAGCACCTGCCTCAGATAGATATCGACCAAGCAAATGCCAAGGTTCATGGATGGATCGAACGACAGCTCTTGGAGCTTGGGGGCCAGAGCTAGAGCTAGAGCGGGAGCTGGGTGCTGGGTGCTGCTGGGGCTGCTGCTGCTGCTGGGGCTGGAAAATATCAAAGGTTCAGCAAACAAATGGCATGGCATGGCACGGATTGTGTCTGTTTGCCGATTGCCGATTGCCGTGGGTCCACGGAGACGGAGGGGGGGAGTTCCACATTAGGCAATCGACCGCGCGGCGGCCAGTGCGGCGGCTACACCCATATTCCGTGGAAAAATTGGGTGCGTTGGCCAAACACACATAGCATAGGGTAGGAGGAGGGGGAGGGGTAGGGGTAGGGGGTGGCTGCCAAAGCCAAAAGCTGATAAAAATCATAAGCCGACGACGAGAGCTGCCCGAGCTGCAGTTGGAGCTGCGGGCCGGGCCTCATAGAGTACGTGTCTGGGAGCAGGCATTAGGAGCATAGAGACAGACAGGCTGAAATATTAGGCCAATTATATTTCAAAAATTTACATGTTCCCTGCCTGGCTGCCTGGCTGCCCTGACGATGTTGATGATGGCTGAGAGCCCCAGTCCCTGCCCCTGCCCCAGCTCCAGCTCCGGCCAGAACCGCAGCAGAACCCTCGGTGGAGTGCACACACCTTGGCAGCGGCGTCAAGTGCCCTCCGCCTCCACTCGTGCGGAGATCTTGATGCTGTTGGTGCTCCGGTGCTCCGGTGGGTCTCGCCCTGGAACGTGCATAGGCATAAGCGATATGAGGAGCCCTGCCCCCCGTCTGTCTCTTCGGGCCTCTTCTGGCCGTGTTCCTATTGCCGGCCCTCAGATACGTATCTGTATCTGTGCAGTGTAGTGCCTTGAGCCACACGAAAATTTCCTTTTCTTTTTGGTTAATTTTCGTTGGAAAACTCTCTGAATGAAAGCGGGCAGAGAGAGCTGTGTGTGTGTGTGTGTGTGTGTGTGTGTGTGTGTGTGCAGCGAACATAATTAATTTCGAGGATTAAGCATCAGATTTTGGCGATAGCGACGTGTCCCACAATTCTCGTATCGAGGGACCAGGAGGGGAACACGTACGTTCCGACGGTATCTGGGACCCCATCTCGATGTCTCGTCCCGCTTGGGTAGCCTGCCTCGCCCCGGGGGCGTACGTTTCCATTTTTCCCTCGTATTCTCTTTGTGGGTCAATGGAGGCAGGCCCAGCCATCGAGATTCATAATTGGATACCCAGGCATGGCTACGGCATGGCAATGGCCATAGCCAGGCATTAGGTGTGAACAACTTCAATCGGACTTGCATACAAATTGCAGAACGTAGATTGCCCGAGGCTCCAGTACGCCCCATTTGAAATGGGCATCAACGGGCATGCAGAGCGCTGCAGACTTGTCCATAAGGACGGAATCTTTCGGAATCAACAGAGGTTTCATTTCATGGGAAAGAGTCTGGTAATCCACCGATCAGCTGTTCGACCAGTGCTGCCCATTTGGGCGTTACAGTGCTGCCCACCGGCTCTGGATTTAGCCCTCCGATTTCTGTATTGTTTACCCACCAATCAGAATTATTAAAGCAACACAAACCCCCCGTAATTATAATACCAAATCAGGCACTTCTTTCGCCTGTAATTCGGGACAAGCCTCGACAACTCCAAGCCCGAATGCAGAGCACACACACACACACACACTCCCAGGGTGTTCCACATGAGATCCCCAATAATTTGTCGGCAATTGACAGGGCGGCTGGTAGGCTGGTAGGCCGGTGGGCTGGTAGGCTGGTAGGCTGGTAGGGGGCGGGGCGGTTACAAACTGAAAACCGTCATCAGGTAAATGCAATTAGCCCCGGGAGGGCTTGATTGATGTATTTCGAATGAGCTGCGCTAGGAAAACTAATTAGCTTTAAATTATGTAGGCAGCCCAGCCCCACAACTGGAGCCCGCCACGCCCCACAAAAATATTTGTCAATCAAGCAATTTCCAGCCAAGCACTTGCATTGCTCAAGTGCCTTATTAATTAATCAATTTGCCTGGTATAGAACAATTAACATTAGCATTTCTTAAGTGGAGCCGGACTGCTGGAGCAGGCTTATCGGGGGGGCAACAGGGGCTAAGGATCTGGGCAGATCAGCGGATAATTAACAGATTAAACACGCAGGGCAAAACGGGACACTAAGAAGACGAAAACACACTCATATTTCAAATAAATATTCGGTTTTTGGGTACAAAATACAAATAAATAAATAATTTTTAATTTAAAAGTTTTTAAATTCTAATATCACCCCAATAAAATATTTGTATTTATTAAAATAAAGTTAAAGTTCCAATTAAAATAACAAAATTATGATTTATAGGGTTTTTTACAAAATACAATCCTAATTATAATAAAAAAAAAATACACTCAAAAGAAAAAAAATTAATAAAAAAGGGTTTCCTTGTCTTAGAAATTTCTTTTCGTTTTTTGGAAAAAAAATTAAAATTCTAGAAAACAATTCAAAATATATTTTATTCAATTTATGGGAAATATATTGATTCTAAGTTGGAAAATATTTAATTTAAATATGAAAAAATTTCTTGTACATAAAATATACTTATATAAATCATTAAATATTCATTTAAATTTAATTTAAAATTAAATCGTTTGATATTTAAGTCAAAATATAAGTGATATGCATCGAATATTACTTTCGTTCTCTGGGTGCTCTTCTCAATCGGTTCTAAAAGAGCACAAGCCATGGGATATAGGAATTTTCTTTCCGGAGCCATCTTAAGGACTACCCTGCAGATTTGACAAATGTCCGGCCCGTAGAGCATGCCTGATATGATGACATTTATCAATCCGAGTACTTTCACTCGCATTTCGGGGGGGATTAGAGCTGAAACTGATCCGATCCGGTGGGATGGTAAGGGCACCGGGCAATAAAATGACTTTTCGCCACGGTTATCAATAACCAGGCATCGATATTTTATGAAAATTGATACGCCACACACACACACACACAGGGCACACCCCCGCGGTGGTAAAAGGGAAAATAAAAATAAATAATAATATCCATTATTACAGTTTATCCCATCCCAAATAGTTTCGGCTGCTCCTGGCCGAGTCCTTCGACGTCGAGTCGATGCCACTCATAAGCGAACTAATCCGTCAAAATTTATTGCCACCGAGATCCAGGGTTTCGGGATGGGATGGGATGGGATGGGATGGTGGGCTGCCAATTGATAACGTGCGTGTGAAATTTATCAAATAAATTGAGGCCATAAATGTCAAAGATGCCCATGATTCATAGACACAGACACCGCCACAGCCACAGACAGGGGATACGTATACGCGGTGGCGGATGACGGTGGCGCGGTCTCCTTATTAGCCAGCTTCCGCCTGGCAAAACAGTCAAGGAGTGCCAGTGCCGTCCCAGAATTGGATTATCTGACAAATTTGAGTGATTTTTTGTGTGTGTGGTTACACTGGCTGTGGCTGTGGGCCCTCTGCCGTTGTGTTCCATTTATTAAAAAGCCATCAAAAAATTAAGCCACAAATTACGATTTGCATTCAGCATTTGGCGAAATCTCTCTGCCATTATCATTCCCCATTCCCCATTGCCCCATTCTCACTCCCACGATTACGCGTAATCAGAAAGCGTAGAGAGCCCCCCGCTTCTGGCTCTGTCTCTGTCTCTGGGTCCGGGTATGGGTCCGGGCCTGGGTCCGGGGTCTGGGTCTGGGGTTCGGGGTCTCCAGTTCCAGTTCAGTTCAGTTCAGCGTGGCCATCATTATTCAGAATTTAGTTTACTCTTTTTCCTGCTCTGCTGGAAGAGGTGAATGCTTTTTCACGCTATTATTAAATTTGGTTATTTCGCTTGATTTTTTTTTTTTTTTTTTTTTTTTTTTTTTTTGCACTGACGAGAGCCGCGGCGAGGGCGTGCTCGTGTAATGACAATGCAGAGCGGGCACGCCCAGACGGAATGGACCCAACGGAGAAAAGCCACCACACTGAGCGAAACTGAGCGAATGGATTCGCTTTCAGATTCGATTCCGCTTAAGGACGTATTAATGCCTGGTCAACACGAGGCACAAACAATCGCCACATCGTCTGCGGTGCGGGGGGGCGGATACGGGGGTACGGGTTACGGGTTACACAGGCAATCGTCGGCAAAACTAAAAACCATTTCGTTTCAAAAACTTTGACATAATAAATAGCCCGGCAACGGCATTGCGACGGGGACAGACCAGGACGGACAGGGACGGACCGAGGACTGAGGACTGAGGACTGAGGACTGAGGACTCTTAATAAAAGTCAATTGGCAATCCCACGCCCCCCGCCCCCCGCCACACCATCGGGTTGGGTCCTCTCCTACTATGCGGGGCATTTGAAATTTTAATAAAAAGTCCTTTTATCGCACTTAGAAGGCCATTTAGTAAGCTAAATTATACCCGGGTATTATCTGGGCAAACGGAGGATGGAAGACCGTACACCGTAGACCGGAGTCCCCACTCCCCACCCCCCAGTCCTCAGTCCTCAGTCCTTTGTGTCGTTCCCGAAAAATCTCAATCCCAATCCCAATCCCAATACCAGACCAAAACCCAAAATCGTAGTCAAATTGGCCATGTTAAACCGCAGAGCATTTTGGCTCCTGCTTGTTGTTGTTGTTGTTGCTGACCCGACTTATCTCTCAGAGCGGAGTGGAGCAGTGCGGCACCGGCAACGTAAACTTGCCACAAATTGGCCAACGATGCTGCTGCCTCGTTGCTGCCCCTGATGATGTTGTAGTTGCTGCATAAGTCCAATTT